CAGCACGAATATCGACGAACAATAGAGTAGAAGTGATAGCGAATAACGACTGATTACCATCTCAGGTTGCGTTTCATATGCAAAGATGCATTTTTCGAAATTAGCGTTCCAGTGAGCGATTATCAAGTTTATCGATAACACACTGGTAATAACAGTGATATGTTTCTATTTATGAGTATATTTGCTAAGGATGACGATCACAAGGAGGTGAAATATTCAAATTAAAGATAGTATTATATGAAATTTATTCATGAACAGTTCCATCGTCGTATCAAACGAAGTAGTGCTAGTTTGATGTGATTGTGAGCTGAGCCGAGTTGTTGGGCTATGTTACTCTTGGCTGCTACTCATTTCATCCGATTCATTCAGCCATCCAAAATGCACCGCCCTCAGTCACTAGGTTGCTGACTGGAACTGAAGAACGCAGATAAATAATATTAGATATTGAACACATATTTTCATGATTCTAACAACATAAACTAATTATATTTACACCTTAATAAACACACCTATAAACGAATTAGTATTAAACAATAACGAAGATGAATGAATTGGCGAACGTACGCTAATTAGATGATGATTGCTTTTGTAAGGTTCCAGAATTCGTTTGTTCAGATTGTAGATTCTACTTACAATTGAATCCAGACCTTTAGAGTCTCAAATTGCCTGTGCCTGAGGTTGCGACGCTTTTGTTAAAATTATCAAAAGTGAGAATATCGTTTCGTGTTGATATCGTTCCAATATTGTTCCACCTGTTCAGGTCATTCACGTCTTAATAGCGCTAGAAATGGAGCCTGATATAATCTCAAGTCGGTAGTTGAGTTTACCAGGGATTCAAATTGAAATGAGCAGTTGATGAGATCTTCCAAGACCCTAATAATCTTTGCAATAAAGCCTTCTCCAAACTCGCTTACACTTCACAATGGAATGACAAAATAAGTTATTATGCAGTAGGTTGTGAGTTGAAACTATGGAACGTTAAGACCATACGGCTCTTATTGCTTATTTCTGATAGAAGTGACTTAGTGGCTGCAATGAGATGAGAGGGATATCGTGAAAATAAAACTGAATCCTCAAACCCAACGATGCCCGCAGAACGACGTTGTCTCAAAGCGTCCTCGTACTGCCACAAGGGAAGTTGATCGAGAAGAAAACTGAGCATTCAGTAATAGTTTCGACTAATCAATATTTATTGCCACTCGTTACTCATTATTCAAATCAGTCTCCATTTGTGAGATTGGAGATCGTTCTTCTTAATGCCTAAACACATCCACAGTGATGAAATAAAATTGCTTTTTTTGACTCGACCACTTCGTTCTTCCAGAAGAAATTCATCTATTAGTTTAGTTCATTCTACTCTTCTGAGACGAAATAATTTTTCCATACTGAAAAATGATTCTTTTAAAATTTTCATGCATAGACATCGTATCATATGCATTATGTTTTTTTTTCTCTTTGTTCATCACTTGGCTTGTTCTGATGCAGAAGTTATATACCGTTCACTAAATCTTTTTCGAGAAAATCGCCCGGAATTTCCTTCTTTTATGGGTGTGGAAACTGAAAACAAGGATGTGTCGGAATACGAAACAATATTTTAGTTAGTACACTTTCGAACGAAACCGTTCGTTTTTATCACATACTGTCACCAGAAAAACATTATGAACCTTTGTGCAAGAGTGAGTCGCAAGAGAGTATTGAATGCCAATATAATGAAACAGTGGTAAACTAGACAGAATCAATGCATCTACCACTTTATCAGTTAGGACTGTTGCATTCAAGAGTAGTTATAATCTCTTGTAATCGTCCATTATTCGATGATTTTTATTCTCAGATTGCACTCTGTCGAATTTTTTCTTTTATATTATTACTCATTTTCATGATTGAGTACCATATCAATCTTTTGTGGTAACTCGCTCTTTGTTCTATGAATTGGTTTGTTATTTCATCAAACCGAATTTAATTCTTTCTTAAATTCAATACCAGCAAATGTCATTTGCAAAGAACATTATCAACAAGTGATGAATGGTGAATGTTATTAATAAGGTATAAAGTTCATTTGTGAGGTAAATTCTGGATGTACGATGAATGATTGACGTTAAATTAAACCACTAACTGAATCACTGACAATATTTCACAGGGTAGACTTATCATCAGTGGAACCAACAAAGTCACATGCATGGCAATAACGGCTTGTTTCATTAGGACTGACATGTCTGCCAGGATTTTCAGCAATTCGCGAGTTGAATGAATTAGAAGACTCAAGATATTCGCAGATGACGCATAATTCTTTATGCGGATAATTCTTCGCAGCAACTTCTTTGCGACGTCTCAGACTTCATTCAATTAGTTATATCGTTCAACTGAAATATTCATTTGTTTATTCATTTATCCATCTCTTTATCACTACTTATGTATTTATCACTCGTTCACCGATTATTATACATTCACTTATTTATTCATTCATTTACTATTAATCGAGCATTTTAACAACAAATAGAGATGTTACATTGCACACTGATGCTTCTTATGAATAATCACTTTGTTGCTTATTTTCATCAAATTTGTTTCATCTCCCTTATCGTCTTCCGATCAAACATCACTTTCCAGTGTCATTCAGCTGGAGATTATTTGATAATGAAATGCGGTAGTCGAATTCGATTACAAGTCCGCGATATATACTGACAAATTTTCAGTTATTAAATATGAATCCACAGTCCTTTAGATCCATGTGTTGTGTACCTCAAACATCATTTAATAATCGTCTACAGCAGAATAGCTGGTTTCGTTCATCCAATTTCAACAGTTCCTTGAATTCTATTTCATATCTATGGAATTCAGAATTACATCAGCTCTTAAATGAGGGCTGCGTTGCTATACGATTAGAAAAACTCTTTCACGTTCGAGTAATCATGATGTTTTTGACATAATTTTTTGTTAGTGTATCCTCGCTTATTATAAGAAATTATTTAACATTATCGAATCAAATTATTTTTAGTGGTGAGAAAATTCACAGAATTATTACATCACTGAAAATGTTTGGATGTCTCACAAAGTTGAATGTTCAAAATATTACTCATACTTATAGGCTGATAAATGGCGCGAGAGTTTATCATGTGAGAGAGCTTATCGATCGTTGTTTGTTTGTGGTGTTCAGTCATGAGCAATCACAAGAACCGCGTAATCTTTTTGATAAATTACATGCTCAGGAAAGCTTATCTGACTCTGTTATGAATGGTGAGTATTATCGACTGAGAGGATGTTTATTATCGCCATTTAACAATGAAAGTTGCATTGTTGATGTTGTTGAGAAGTCGTTATTTCGTTTTGAGTCAATGACGAATAAATGTATATTATAATGAAGATAAAATGAATGTGAATAATAGCAAATGCAGTTGATAATGATACAGTGATGAGTACATCTCACTGTACAGTTCACATAAAATGCTATTCATAGTCAACAACCGCATAATAATTACAATCAATTTTCAATCGACATACTCGTAACTCAACGGAAATGAATGTTACAATGAGTCACAAAAGAACACTGATTACAAAAGTTTTTTAGTACGGCTTGAAATTCGTGAATATTGCATTATGTGAGGCTGAACATTATCTTTGAAATGGAATAAGTTTCGTTGAAGTTTGTAATGATCACTGCAATGGTCAGAAGACTAATGATGATGGCAAACAGACGAATAAATGAATGGATGAGTCCGGTGACAAAACAATAATGAATGTTTATCGAAGCGTTCCATTCACTCGTTCGCTCATATTAATTTAGTAATGATGCTTCCTTTCAATTCCCGAATCATGAATCCTATTACATGTAATATCGAATTTTTGCATTATATAGAATTACAAATTTGCGGATTTTTTTCCCAAACTTTTCATTCATAGACACTGTACGCTTCTTTTTCGATTATCTTCCGTTGATGCCTCAATGAAAGTAGTTTCTCTGGACGGAAATGAAAGTGAATGCTGAATAGTTGTGTGAGGAAATGCGTCATGAGTAATTGAGGCATATTTAGGGACATATATTTTCAAGAATCAAGAATTAGTTCCTTATGCAGGCTCCAACAGTTTTATCCGTGCTATCATAAAAGATTGATTATTGAATTTTGACCGCAGGGATAATCATAAAGGTGTGTTGAATTTGCATACATTATGTTAACAACAAAAGCCACTCCACTACGATCAACCTTAAGAATCTTTCCACCCTCACAATTCAAACATGATCGCTAGTGTCATTCGTATGATCGATGCTTCTTTCGATATTTTTGAAAGTGCGTTCCAGCGAGTCCATTCTACCTAATGTTGTTGTTGAGTTGTCCAACTAAAAACTAAATTTGGAAGCTAATTGAACAAATAATAAACAGTACTTTTTACTCCCTTTATTATCTGATTCTTGCCGCTGATCAGTGTTAGCCATAATTTCACGAGTCGTTTTCCGAAATAAGAATATCGTCGCTACAATGCCTTTACATTCAGT